AACAACAACAAAAAAAAAAAACACAAACATATAATGGCTCTTTCTTAAACCTCCTGTCATTGGTTAATGACATTCACTAATGAGTCAAGCTAGATTACCAGGAAATTTTCAGTGACAGTTCAGGGACACCTGACACATCCTTAACAAAGGCTTGCTTAGCCCGAAGACTGCAGTGGGTCCCTGGTTCCTGTCCCCATGCCATGCACCCTTTGGGTTTCTCTTCTCAGACAAGGCTTTGGGACCTCAGCCACCACTCACCCCTGCTCCGCGCACCCTGACCCTTTCCTCCCCATTTATATGGACTCCAGCATGGGATTGGGAGCCCCACTGCCCCTCTGTGCAGCTACTCACGGTTCTAGTGCCGGGGCTCACTGTCAATGCTTGACGAAAGCCAGCAGTTCTCTCCACAAAGACGTTTTGCTGAACCTTCTTCAAGTCCTTGTTTGGTGTATTTCCTCCTTTTAAAATGTTTCATTTGAAAGTCTACCTAGCACTCATTGAGCAGTTTCTGTGCACCAGGCAATGATGATACCTGGGAGGAAAGGACTTGGGTCTGAGTGCTCTGATTTGGTCCCTGCCCTAAAGGGGTTTAAATCTAGTCAGAACAATAGGTTTATGGACAACTGACACAGCAGAATGTGCCCAGCAGTGACTTCATTTTAATGGGTTCCTGGGAATTCCGACCCAAGAATCATGCATGATCCTCTTAGCAGAGCAAGTCACAGCAAGGTGACAAGGCTGCCAGGCTGGGAAAGCCCCGCCCCTGCCCAGGCGGCTCCTACTTCCAGGGCAGCGTCTCCGTCTCCAGGCTCCGTGGGTTTGCACCCACAAATGTCTGGCTTCCTCCCCTTCAAATCAGGATCACTCCGCACCCCTGTTCAGACATTGCTCTCTGCAGCATCTTGCAACTTGCTTTTCTTTACGGTCATTTCAGTGTCACCTCACCTAGGTGCTATCTTTTTTCCTTTAAATCCTGTTAGGCCCTGGTTGTTCCAACACCTAGATTTTCAGAGAATCTCACTGAAACTCCCAGTCTCTTTCTTACAAGAATTTTCTTGTTTCCCAATATTAACATTTACTCCACGTCATTGTTGACTTTTACATTCAAATCTCTTGACTTGAACATTCCAGCTAGTCGTTTACATGAATTGTAACAACTAGTTATACGAGTACATTCCAGCGATTGCCTAGTTTTTTCATCAAGACATGGGAGTTTTAGTGCTTCGGGAAGTCATGTGGCCCAGTGAGCCTCACGCAGGGGTTACTTTGCTCCCCCACCCCAGAGGACATTTAGTAATGTCTGCAGACACTTTTGGTTGTTACATCTGGGGGCCGGGGGGATGTTACAGCATCAGGTAAGTAGAAGCCAGGATGGCTCAAAACATCCTAGAATGGACAGGACAGCTCCCCACACAGAGATTTACCCCAGTGAAAAAGGCAGTTGTGCTGACGGTGAGAAACATGATCCAGGTTTGCATGGGTTGGTCGAAGCCCACAGAGAGAGAATGTGACTTGTCGTCTGGTGAATTAGTGGCAAAGACTGAATTAGAATCTAGTTTTCCTGACATTCAGACCAATTTATTCCTATTACAATAAACCTTAATTTTACTATAGTTACTTATGTACATGTTGTGTCCCCACTAAACCGTGAGATCCCAGAAAGCAGAGGTCTCATAGTATTTTTTAGCACACTGTATTACATACAGTAGCGTTACAGTATCGCGCATGCTTGACAGAGCAAATAGCACTGCTAGACAGTTTAGTGCTCACAGAAATTTCTACAATTTCCTCCTTTGAGTTTGCTTGATGAGAACGAATACTATAGAAAGATTAAACACAAGAACCGTGATAATGGATAAACCAATCTTGATGACCAGACACAATTTTCTGCAATTTAAACAAAATTAATAAAGAAGTGGGACTTCCCCACTGAGTATACACAGACTAAGGAACAGAAATTTGGAAAGAGCAGGGGATCTAGGCAAATGTTTAACTACACAAAGGGCAAAGATTAACAAATACTTGTTGAAGTGGGGATATGGTAATAAGAAAGGCATTAGTGTTCTTAATTTTGTTCAAGTCGTAAATCCATGTCATCTTGCTTTGTAAAACTAAAAGTTCTACTGATTCAGGTTCACCTGCAAGTTACAGACAGTTGCTCACAAAAACATTTTCCCACTTCGCTGCATACTAAACTTAGAGAAATATTGAAAAGCCAATGTCATCAACACGTGGCAACAAATCACAAAGTACGTCTTACAAAGGAAAGAGCTAACGCGTGTGATATCCACCATCAGGCTGTAAATTAGAATTGTGTTTGGTAGACACTCACGGCTCTTTTCTCACCAGAAGATGAAGATTTGAGAAGCAGCGGGAGGCATGGAACTACCCAGACGTGTGTCCCTTTCACTGGTCATTTGGGAATCCCAAGTCTGTGATTTTGCCAAACTTAAATTCATAATTGCATGCTGATTACTTCTGTAGAAAAAGCAACTTTAGCATAAACTACATTTCCTTGGGCACTGGACACATATTCCGATTATCTAAAATGGTACCATCTCTTTGTTCCCCTCATATCATTAAATTCTCCTGCCCTAGTTTTCTAAATTCCTCATTCTTACATTTCTATAAGGATTGTAAGGGTTGTCAGAATCAAAATCGAGTCACTCATGTTGAGCAAAGCCTGACAAACAGAATTGGGAAAAGCCGTGAAAACAAGGTCCTCACATTTGCATGTCTGATAACAGAACAAACTATTAAAAACCACAAGGTTGCACAAAGGCCTTTGCAACCTATCCAAAGACGGGTCTGCAAGGACACCTGCCCGGCAACAACCTGTCCAAACATGCACTGACATCACTCTTGACATTGATCTTTGCAGCAAAGGATAAGTATTTCAACACAATTACGTAATCCCCTCATTATTTCCCTTCGAAAATCTCTGTCTTCCTTTACTTCCCTAAATGCACATGCAGTTTCCTGTTGCAGGCGTGGTCTCAACACAATACTTCACAGTCAAATAAATATCTTTTTTTTTAAAGAGAATTTCTCTGTTTATTAGTTAACACAATGTATCCAAAAGAAACTGAATAAAAACTCTTGGACTGTCACACAAGCACACAAAGAAGAAACTGAAGTAAGTATAAAACAGACCTTCTCTTGTTCTGAGGACACATATTAAAGTGTCGTTCTAGTGACCTAGGCTGGAGGAGGTGAAGCACTGTGGGAAGATTTTTAACGTCGGTACTTTCTTTGCCGTCACCACCATGGCTCAACAACTGGGTGATGTCCCCATGTGTCTGTAAGTTCTTTATCACTTCAATAAACCCCCTTCCACTGAAAGACGTAGGGTCAAGTTTGTAGCACCTGTGACAGGAGCCACGAGAAACTAAAATAAACTCTCACCTATTCCCTCTACTACCCAGGGATTATTTTGAAGCAAATTCCAGATACCAGAGCATCTTGTCTATAAATAATAACATTTACCTCTGGAAAGTAAGGATTTCTTTTGTTAACATAATCACACTATTTTCTCTTATCACTGAAATTTTATAATTCCTTAATTTCATCAAATATTCAGCATTCTAATGCACCTAATAGTCCCATGCAGATTTCTTTGCAGTACGTTTATTTTCCTCAGCATCCAAGCAAGATCTGTACGTAGCATTTGAGTGATGTGAATAAATGTGCTTTGTAGAAAGGGATGGATGACTATTCAGAGTCACGCCAAGTGTGTGGGGGTTTGTTTGCTCAGGTCGGGTCCTAGGTCCTGGAGGTGTGCATGGAGCTGGGCAGGTGTCACATCCATTGGTGATGCAGCCCTGGGGACCCAGCAGGTCATGCCCCAGCCCGCGAGCTGATGGGATAGGAGCAGACACAGTGGCCCCCAGGTGTCGATAGAGCCTTCAAGCGCTCTGTGGAGGGCAGAGGAGAGGCTACGAGGTGGGGAGGGAAGTGCGGCCAGATGGGAAGAGCTTGCCAGGCAGGGCTAGCAAATTGTGCCCAGGAAGGAAGGCAAGAGGCCCCGCTATGCTCTGGGGGGGACTGGCTGGAGATCGGGGGGTGAGGAGGGGTGTAGGACCCATTCTGCTTGCAATGGGGTCTCACTGAAGAATTTCAGAAAGGTGGTCGTGCTCAGATTTGTATTTTAGAAAACCCACTCTGGTCGTCAGTGGAGAAGAGACTAGAGGGAGGTGAAGCTGCTGTCAGGGAGCCCCGTGAGTCTGTCTGCTCCTCACCCCCTCTCCCTGCGGGGAGCTCCCTCTGAGAGCAGGAGGGCTCAGTGTGCCTCAGCCCACACCTCCTGCGGAGACCAGCATTATGGGCCCAGTATGGGGCTGAAGCTAGAAATGGCTCCTAACCCAAGGACTCTGGCATGGTGACAAGCAGGGTAAAAATGATTTTACGTGCATTTATTTATAGGTATTAATAATTCACATGTGTAGTGTGTAGTTTTGAAGCCCAGGCCTGAGTGGCACTGAGAGAACTGAGAGTAAAGCTCATGTCCAGGGCCCCACACAGGGTTGGAGAGCACAGTGAGGATGTGCCCTGTGCACCTGCAGGTAAGGGACAGCAGGGTCCCCTGAGAGCAGAGGGTGGGTCTGTTCTGTTCTCTGTTGTGTGCACCTCCTGGAACGCTGAAGAGTCCACAGCCATAACAGCTGTTTGAAAATGCATAAGAAAGAAACTTTCATTATCAGAAATAAAATGACTCTCCAAGATAAGAAGAAAATTTTGCTATGCTGTTCCCCAGAACGGTAACTCTTTTCCAGTGCATACCTGAAAATGTCAGATGAAAATTTCTGCACTTGATTTTTTGATAGTCTATATGACAAATGTTACAGCACAATTTCTGGAAAAGTCAAACCAACCACATAATCTACATTTTCCTTTTGTACTAAGTTTTTAATTCTAAGAAAGAGGCAGGTCAGGAACACATTGGAAATATGATTTCATATCAGATCCTAATGAAAAAGAATGAATTTTAACCAAGTTTGTTCATAGGAGTTATTTTTATTTGATTAGTACATAATTTGAAAAAGTATATTAGCTTCACAATAGCCACCCTCAGCAGGAGGCAAGCACTTCGTTGTTGCAAAGAGATTATTGGTCTTGCATGGGCTTCTCATCCATGCCTGCTTTTTTAAAACTTGAAAACCTTCCTTGCTGCTTCTATAGCTTCCGCAGTTACAGGAGGCTTCCTCTGGCTGCCAGGCTGCAGAAACTTCTTCACGGTGGGGAGGTTGCTGATTCTGGTTTTCAGGGCCTGCAATGCACAAATCACAGCCTCAGAGTGCAGCCCAAAGACCAAAGCAATTATTAGACAACCCAGGAAATCTGCGCCCTGCCCTTCTACACACACACCGCGTCCCCTGCTTCAGCACCAGTGTGGCGGCTGGGAACACACACCACAAAAATGAAGATATGAGGAGAAAATATAGCTCAATAGCATTTTCCCCAAGGATGTCTGGAAGACTTTATTCTGTCCACAGTCCTCCCGACCTTCTTCCTTCCACATTAATCCTGTAGATTCATGGCTCTTGTGCAATACAAGAAAAAACAACGTGCTTGTCACTGTCAACACAGTATATTGTCTAAGCAGGAGAAACGAAGATATGGGAAAACTGATCTGGGAATGAAGATAGAAAACATTAAAGGCAAACACGGGGGCCAGTCAGACCAATTTTCCCACGGAGAGGTGGACACAGGGTGGGCAGGAATGTGTAGGGCAGGCCTGGGCAGAGAGGAACACAAGGTCTGACAGCAGGGACTGGAGCCCAGGGAAGGAAAGCACATGGAAAGAGACCTGCCCAGACAGACTCCGTGTGGGAAGACAGGGGAACCCCCGGGATGATGGGACTCCCAGAGAAATCAGGCACAGAGACCGCAATGGAATGGGGGACAAGGAGAGAGATGCTGGGCTCTGGGGTCCTTTCTATGATCACATTGACGGCCACAGTAGAACAAAAAATTTTTTTCCTTTGGGCCACCGTGTTTTATTACGAAAACAGAATAAAAACTTCAAAAACAAAGGGATCCTTTCTAATTTAATGAAAAATTTGTTATTTTTTCTTATTTTCCGTGTGTGAGTTATATGCAACTTGAAAAATACTTCACACAGCTCCCAAGGTGAAGAGATGGGAGTTACAAATGCTTCACGAGGCCCTGGGCTCAAAACTAGCATGAGTTAAATACAACTCACATGGCAGTTAATGTGTTATGAAAGGTAAAATAGGCGGTGTAGCAGTGGAAGGAAGGCTTAACGCAACTAGTTCCATTTAGCTTCTGAGTGGCAGCAATAATGTCCTCTAGGTAAAAGCCTCTGCTAAGCTCTGTGCGTAGACCAGCACAGTATAGGGAGAATTTAGTTTTCACTTCAATTCTAGAAGAAAGATGATAACCGTCCCTTTCCCAAAACTAACTCCTGGGGAGATAAAGAAAATACACAAGAGTACCAATAAAGATTTATAGGAACATCATGACCTTACCTACACCTTGCAAAGTTAAATGATCAGGAACAAAGAAGTTTTACAACCCCCTCAGATCCTCCCCGGCACTGGATGTCTGCATTTCTTGGTTACCTATGCAACCCACCTCCTTTCCCCCCTTCCCTTAACATAAAAATGTGGCCAAAATTGAGACTAATTGAAGATGTTCTTTGGGACATGGGTCCACCGTCTTCTCTGTTTGCTTGCTCTCCACATAAAAGCCACCTTCCCTGCCCCAGCACCTTGTCTCTCAAATCACTGGCTGTCCTGCAGTGAGTGGTGTGAGCTTGGACTTGTTTACATTGGGGTGGCATCTGCCTCAAATATCCTCCCCATAACAACAATCTTTTCATGCCTCAGAACCAGGGCCTGGAAACTCATTTTGGAGACCTGGGGGCAGTGCCAGCCTGGAGGAGGCTGGGGTCTGAATGTCACCAGTCCAAGGGCCCAAATACTACATTCCATCGTGGGACATGTGGGGCTGCCTCTCTGGGGGTTGCGAAATAGTGAAACCGATCACCTTCAGCAGAGGGAAGTTGGCGGTGAGGCTGGGGTCCAGCTCTTCCACGTTGTAGATAAGTTCGACCAGGTGGATGTCAGCCCGGCTCAGCCTGTTGCCAACAAGGTAGTCTTGTCCGTGGCTCTTTAACACCTGGAGAGTTCCAGGCACCAGATCAGGGACACACGCACAGTCAGGCAGGGCACCTGCTTGTCCCCCAGCCTCTCCAGCCCCTGACCCTCCCACCTCTGCGTCCTCACTGGCAGGTGTGAGACCCAGACCTTTCTCCACGGTCCCTGATTCAGGAGCGAGAGTGAGAAGCGGGCTCCGCTCCCTGCTGCCTCCTCGGGGGAAGCCCAGGCTCCCGATCCTCTGCTCGTTCCCCCAGCCCTGCGGCCTTCTCACCTCCCACCCCCACTGGCATCTTCCACGTGTGCCCGCGACTCAGCACCTGCTGCCCACGTTTCTGTGTCCCCGCGCCCTACAGCGCAGCCCTGACGTTCCAGGACGGGGCTCTGCACTCTGCTCTCTCTCTCTGCAGTGCCCTTGACAGCCCTCTCCCCCCAGGAGGACACGTCTCCTCCTCCTTCTCTCCTCGTTTCCTGGTCTATATGCTGGGATCTCAAGTAAACCTGGGTGACCCTGAATTCATCATCTTGCACCGTTGGCCCTGACTCCTAACTTACACTGGGCTATAATCTGCAAGGTGAAGTGTCTAGGGGTCAACTGCACTGACGTCCGCAACTTACTTTGATATGCGATAAAAAATCTTTGTCTCCATGCCAGCGCCATCATCCTTGTTTAGATACTTCTCTTTCATCTCTGAAACACTACAATATTCTCCTGACGGGCAGCTGGTCTCAAATGCTCTGACACATGGTTTCAGAATGGTTTCTGATGTATTGCTTTCACCATGCTCTTCTTCAATCAAAGCCCAGTGTGTTCTGTAGGCCATTGCCCAGTCCCTAGTGTGGCTCAGAGCCGTGTACAGCCCATGTTTTATTTATGACTATGAAATTCTGTGGAACAGAGAATTCTAGATTTGGGTCTAGTAAATTGAAATTTGCTGGACAATTATAATTTGGTATAAGTGGTACAATTCTTCACAGTCTATTTCATAAAGTGCCTGAGAGTCATGGAGCTGCGTCGGGGTTCAGGAAGTCTCATTGAAAGGGCAGGTCACTGCCTCGCCAATGCCCAGGCACTATTTTTCTCTTGCCTTCTAAACTCAGTGCCTTGAAATGCTGAACACTTACTTTTTCAAAGGCAGGGAAATAGCGATTTGTTGTTTTCTCTTTGATGAAGGCAAGCTTGGCATCTTTTTCTGCAGGTGGATGCATGGGGAACATAATGATCATTTCATTCAAATCTGCCATACCTTCTATATACATGTCGATCCTGAAAGACAAAACAGCCTCGCTGTCAACTACCTCCCGCCTTAGATTTTATAGTTTAAAAATGTATGAGACTAGAGCATCAAGTAGTAATTCACCTCCAGTGGGTGCCTTTTCTATGTCCGTCAATTTGATATGATTGTTACACATATAAACATTTATTACATAAAACACCGTATTGGGGTAGATGTGTTTCTAATATTTTTGTTGTACATATGATTAAATACAGGTTCAAGGAGCATCGATGACCTGTCCCAAGTCATAGTCATGAGAAAAAGTGATGGATTCCCCGCAAGTAACCAGTGATACTACACTAAATTTGATATCCTTATTGTTGTCTGTTCTGTGATAAGCTTAGTGTGACTAGATGGCCAAAGACCTCCTGCCTCAAGTAACCTCAACAGAGTCCCTGGCACGCCCATCTCGGTCGTGTTCCTCTTCCTCTCTCACCATTCTGCTCCTCCCAGGCACACGTCTATGCCCAATAGTAGCAGTTCTTTCAGCCGTCTCCCACGAACATGCCCCACAGCCCCCTCCACGTGCTGCTGCCCTACTCCAGCCATGTTTGTGTTTCTCCCGACCCAACGTAAACATCCGTTCACTGGTGCGATTCTTTCTTTTTTTTTTTGAGACAGAGTCTCGTTCCGTTGCCCAGGCTAGAGTGCCATGGTGTCAGCCTAGCTCACGTCAACCTCAAACTCCTGGGCTCAAGCTATCCTCCTGACTCAGCCTCCCGAGTAGCTGGGACTACAGGCATGTGCCACCATGCCCGGCTAATTTTTACTATATGTATTTTAATTGTCCAGCTAATTTCTTTCTATTTTTAGTAGAGACGGGTCTCGCTCTTTCTCAGGCTGGTCTCGAACTCCTGAACTCAAACGATTAACCCGCCTCGGCTTCCCAGAGTGCTAGGATTACAGGCGTGAGCCACTGCACCCAGCCCGGTGCAATTCTTCACACAGTTACAAGCAGTGTGGACAATAGGAGACCTTCTTTTCTTTTCTGTCGAGTTGGGTTTTCCACGATACTTTTTAAAATAACAGCTTTATTGACATACATTCACATACTATAATTGTCACTCATTTAAAGTATACTATTCAATGGATTTTGGTACATTCACAGAATTCTGCAAATACCACAACATTCTAATTCCAGAGCATTTTTATCACCCTGAAAAGAAAATCTGTACCCACTGGCAATATTCTTCATTCCTCCCCACCTCCCACCCCTCTAGCCCTACTATTCTACTTCCTGTCTCCACAGATTCCAATATTCTGGACATTTCATACAAAAGAAATACTACAATATGTGGCCTTCTGTGTCTGGTTTTTTTTATGCAATACGTTGTCTTTAAGGTCAACCATGTTGAGCATACATCAGAACTTCACTCCTTTTCATGGCCAAATAATGTCCCGTTGCATGTCTTTGGCACATTTTGTTTCTCCATTCATCTGCTGATGGATATTTGGGCTATTTCCACTTTTTTAGCTTTATGAATATTGCTGTTATTTGCATTGTAATTTTGTGTACAAGATTTAGTGTGGAGGTATTTTCAACTCTTTGGGTGATATACCTAGTAGAGAAATTGCTGATTCATTGTTAACTCTGTCAACCTTTTTGAAGAACTGCCAGAAGTTCCAACAAGGTTATGTTTTGAGTTATGAAGTCTCATCACAACAAGGAGGAGACCCCAGAGCGTTGGCAGTATTAAATACATCTGGTTGCTTCAGACTTGTATTGAAATGTTAAGGTAACCCCTGCATATTGGGCACCAGACTCTACGAAGCCTTGTCAAGTGGAAGAGTCCCTATAACTGGCTGATAACCTAGGTACCGGTCATTACTCTTGTAATTACTGAAACTTGAGATTCAGCTCCTTTGGGCCCTTCTTCCCCAGGCCGTCATCTACATACACTCCAACTTTGTAACCCTTGTCCCTATCCATTGGCTGGAACTCACCTCCTAAAGGCCTGAGCACCTGGAATCAGGATTCCACCACCCTCTTGAGTTCATGGTTCATGAGTGTTTAGAAGCCTCTGTCACGGCGCTACACCCATGGGCTGCATCCTCTTGTATGATCACACTTGCCTGAGCCCTCCCACATTCCTCTTCCCTCACCTCTGCCACCCTGGACCTCAGTGCACATGTCCAAGGCCCAGCCTGCTGCTGTCATGACCCCTTGCATGGTCCTGCTCACTCGAGGCAGGACCTAAAGCTCTCCTGGGTTATCTGGTGGTGTGAGGACAGAAAATGTACCTACAGGGCTCTCTCCTTTAAGTCCTTCCCGTAGAGGTTGTGCTTGCTGGCGATGTAGTTGAGGATGGCTCTTGTCTGCGCCAGCTCCATCCCATCAATCTCGACCATTGGCACTTGCTGGAACATCAGACGCCCATCTTCAGGAAGAAGGAAAGAAAAAGGAGAGGGAGATGTCTACAGGCCTCGCTCTTTCAGGATAAAAAAATAATTGGTGAAATGAATGAAGATAAAATGTAAAACTAAAAAATATTGTCTGGGAGCCTAACAACTGAAAGAGCATCCCGTTACTTCCTGCAGTCCTTCTTTCTCTTACCAATTTTTCTTTTCCTTTTTAGGCTTTTTATTTCCAATCCAGGTAAATGGTAGGTCCCTCATATTTTTTGTGCTGATATATCTGCATGGACATTTCAGGAAGAAGCTGGGAGAGGTGACAACAGGGTGGCCAAGTGCATGTCATTTAAAATGGGAAGTTCCCAACGTAAGTCTCCTGGTTTTCAGGACATTTAAGATACTTTCTGAGAGAATTTTCTATGCATGAGTCCCTTTCTGTGCTCTTCAAAGCCTACAATATAGCTAGAATGTCACCTTGTCAAACTGGTGAGAGAAAAGAACTCAAGATGGACTTATATCTACCTCTTTTCTCTAATGCACGTCCTTGCGTGTCCTTGTGGGGAGGGCTGTGTGGGACCCTGAGCTATCGCAGCTCAATCACAGTACAGAAAGCACGAGAAAGCAAGGAGAGGGCATTCTCAGGGCACTGGGGACGGTTCCTTTAGCAAATACTCAGAGGTCTGGCCCTTTTCACCCCCGAGAGTTGCCAGACCTGCTCAAAGAGACACACCCCTTCCATTTTAACCACTTTTCTCCCTCTCCACCGTCCCAAATCACCACCCCCAACAGGCATGGCCTGGTCTTAAGACCTCCCCGTGTACCTTCTACTAGTTATCCTCACATAGGCATTTAGATACTTGTTCTTACCATTTCTTAACTTATCCAAATCTTCCGGACTTGCTATAAATTTCTCTTCAAACTGGAAGCAAAACAGTAAATGGGTTCTCGTTAGTTCGTCCCACAGCACTATAGATTTTTACACTTGAATGGCCCGTGTCCAGAACATAACCTGGATCAGGTAAGATTTCTAAGATTGGCAGGGACACACATTAGTCTGGCCATGAGCTTTTGGAAATGCAGGTTAGACCCGTGGAGAAAGGAGTACAGGGAGGGGGGAGCACAGAGCTACTCACTCCTCACAGCAGCTCCCCTCCCCTCCACCCGGACCCCACAATGTTCATGGTACGGTCATGATTTAGGAGGGGAAGTCACTGGAGGGAAGGAACTGGGAAGTTCTTCCAGTTATGATGCTGCAATATCTCAGAAAATCCTGCATCTCCAGGATAGATCAGAACAGAACCTGTGTGTCCCTGGCCTGGGGTGTGCTGTGGACCAATGGCCATCTAAGAATCTGCCACCAAGGGGTGTTTGCTGTAATTTAAATCATTCTTTACCATTGCATAGTTTAAAAGGGATTCTTAGTCATCAAAAGGTCCAGACATTGGGGGTTTCTAACGTGCTCACTGCAACAGAGATTGTTGTGGATCTGTGATCACACAGGGTCATGATGTAGGTACAGACACATGATAGAGGCATATAAGTGAGGAGGTGTGTGTGTGCCAGCAATTAACGAAGTGTCCCGTTCAAGACAGACAGAGGGATGGTAGGTGTCACTGTAGGAGTTGGGATGGGGTTTGCCAGTGTGATGTCGCTCAAGAGCCTGAGGGACTGGATCATAACCACCAGCTCCTGGGCACCGGGAACCCAGAGCCCTGAGTGAGGGCCTCCAGTGAGCCCTCCCCCCAGTCCCTCAGTCAAGCTGGGATGGAGAGGAGGGAGCCTGGGTGCTCTAAGCCCTGCCCCCTGCACCTGCTGTGCTCACTCACCTGCGCAGGGCTCTGACACATCCCCAAACTCACATACATTTACACTAAAAAATTAACAATAATTCTTTAATATCATCTAATATTTAATTAATATTCAGGTTTCTAATTGTGGTTTAAAGTGTCATAAGTTACATTTTTTTTTTTGTTTAAATCCAAATCCAAATAAGTTCACACATCACGGTTAATTGATGTTTCTTTTGGTTCTTTTGAAAATATTTTTTGATTGTTTATGTGCTCTTTGGTGGACAGATGGACAGACCTTTTTTTCCTTTTCATTGGTCAGATTACTCCATTTTTTTCTTTGTAACTGGGGATATTTTCACTGAAGGTAAAACTATTCACAGATCGTCTTGTTAGGAAGTCTCTTGGCTTAGAAAAGGATTTTGATACAGTTCATTTTAGATATGTCCTAAGTCCCAACCTACCTCTACTCCAGCTGCAGCCAAGAGCCACCGGATGGACTCCATTCTGCCTCGTGCATTGAAGTAGTGAAGCTTGGGCTTCCCCGCCATGATAGCAGTCTCTTGGTTTCTATAAGCATGAATAAAAAAATAAACAAAGGTGTCCACAGAAGCAAAATGTACCTTAGGATGTATGGTTGAATACACCAGCAATATAGAAGGAGTATCTGCCTTTCTCGTGGCAGGACCGGAAGAGTCTAAGGAAGATTTTCCAAAGCCCAAATTGTCACCCATTAATACCCAACATCGTGAAAATGCTTCAGACCAGTCTCATGTTGCCATTTGTCCTTACTTTGAGAACCTAAATAGGGCAGCCTGGATCCCACACAAGTGAGGGTCCTGGGAGCCTGAGAGGGACCTTGAAACCAGAGGACACCACTCACAGGGAGGAGCAGGAGGGAGCAGAGTCACTCTTCAGCTCTTTGGCTGTTACACCGCACTTGTTCACAAGCAGAACCAGTCTTGTCCTGACCGTAGTCAAAACCTAAATTTTCTCTACAGAGAAAGGTGTTCATTTCTTTTCTATTGGATGTCTATAATTTTCCACTTCTGGGAGAGTTTTATTTTCCAGTCTAGAAAAATGGTATTTGCTACATTAATTTTATATTATAAGGAAAGGAAGTAACATTGGTTTAGTGTCCGACATAATATGCAATTTCTCATTTTTGTTCACATTTATTTTTCATAAAAGTCACTTGATATATAGCCTGTAATTATTCTGAGTTTACAGTTGAGGTTATTAATATCTATAGAGATTACGTTACACGGTAAACCTAGCACAGTTTTTATCTGACACCAAACTCTTGGAGCTTCTCTACACCAGCGTGTAGAACCTTGGTCTTCTGACGTTCACACTAGCTTCTGTTATATCTTCTTACGGAATTTTCACAGCCTATAGAAGGTAGCATTTTCACCCTCCCCCCATCCCTCCTGCCCACCCCCACACCCACCCAGCTCTCAGGAAGCAGAGAAGGTGTCCTAGTCTTTATGCATGAGATATCAGGACATCACTGAATGTTCAGTCCATGCTTCGCAGGCTATGACACGGCTAGATAACTCAAGGACACGCTTTTTCTTTTTCTTCTTTTAGCTCTTCCCTCATACAGCACACCATTTTAGAATGCACTAGTATAGAGTGTTTAAATGTCAAGCTAGGATCATAGAAATAAAATGATCAATTCTGATTATTAAATCCACCACTCTGCTTCTTAAACAGAATTACCAAAGCAATAGAACTCCACATAGTGGAAACATAATGACTATGCAAAAAAAACCAGTGTTTTGCCAGGGTAGCCCAGGGTAATATTTGATCTGGCAAATAGAAGGAATTTGCAAGTGCTCTGTTGGACTGGAAACATGACAGCTCAAGGGAAGGACATTATTATGTTTGTCGGAGGCGCAAGTCCACATCCACTTGTCATACTGTCCTGAAGGTCCTAACCATTTAGATTCACTTGCAATGTTGACACTAAACCCTGCTCAGCCTTTGGTCCCAGAAACGCTGAACAAGGAAGAGGAGGAGGAGGAATACGAGAAGCACTGAAAAAGGAGAAGGAGAAGGAGACGAAGGGGAATACACACTGCTTGGTGTCCAATCGCAAAGTAACTTGTGAACAATAAGCTAATGCATGGGAAGTCCATTATGGACGAGTCAATTTAGATCCGAATCGGTAGGCACTGATGATTGGTTTCCCACCTGGAGGGGCGGGTTTCGAGGACGGAGAGGCAAGCAAACACCTGGGTATATTTCCTTTACATTACTCAAGTGGGACCCCAAATGGGTGACTCTGCCAAATGTAAATCCAGTATAATTCTGTGTTGGCTCCTGTATGAATCATACTGATACCTCCTATTTAACTGTAAAAGATTGCGTGTAAGCTCCGACAAATGCACGGCAGCATTTTCAGATTGCTCATACTGTTGTCATTCTCACTTTTCTCACGCCATCGAAGTCACTGCCCTTGCTTTCTAAATTCCTGAATCTTATTTTTGTTTAAAGCCATGTCTTTCAGGAACTACTAAACAATGCTTTAATCAGCTCCTGAGCACACTAAGAAGGCACAATAAGAACATAAAGTACACACACAAACTAACACATTTAAACATGCTCTCCTAGTGAAGCAGACACAAGAACATTTAGGAAGGTTCTTAAGGTCAGTACTAACCTAATTAAGTCCTGGCTGCGTCTCTAGAGGCTCAGCTCCTCCAGGCCAGCTCCTGAGCTGTGTGTCAGCTGCTTAAATGCTGGGACACTCCTGCCTGCCGAGCTGGGCGGGCCCAATAGGGAACAGCCACCCCCACAGCCCAAAGTTCCATGCTAGACTAACAAGCAAGACAGTCAACAATGTTTCATTTCAAGGTTATCCAAAACTGCACAACAAGGGATTTCAAATCTATTTGGCTGCCTCAGAAGGTCCTTCCGACCAGGCTTCTTTGAACACTGTTTAAGGATGATCTCATTAAATAGGCTGCAGGTTTAGGGCAGAGGGGAAACCTTGTCGGGGGAGGAGGACAGTGGCATATGAGGGTGTTGTCAGGAAAGAGGACTGGAGAGAGAGAATGGGGAGATTGCACCTGTGTTTGTAAAAAGGACTCAATGATGAATACTGTTGCAAAATTCTATAAGCTGGAAGAATCTAGCAGAGTTGTCCTAGCCCTGAGTGGGAAAACCTCAGCTGCGTTACCTGGGGTCATTGGCGGATCCTTGTCTATGGGGAACATGTTGGCCTTTCTCTCTAGCCCAAGGTCCTTTATGCACTATTTCTTCTGCCTGGAACATGCTCTTCTCCCCTCCTCCCAGGCATCTCGTCCTTCCTCTGTCCTATCACTCTTCCCACATTCTGTGTTCAATGTGTGCTTTTGTCCTGCTCACCGTGAGCTCCTGAAGGCAGGGCTGCCCTGTCCCCGTGGCTGACCACAGTGTCCAGCATATGGCAGGGGCTCAATGAGTATATGTGATTTCTCTATTTCTAATGGAAATTGTCTAACATACAAACATAGAAAGGACAGTGCAATGAGCTTGATGTACCCATCGCCTTGCTTCAATAATTGTCAACAATATTTGAAGCAATTCCCAGTCTTATTTTATTTCATCAATAAATAATGTGTATCTTTGAAACCTTTTTACTGTAATTATTTACATTACAAAAAAATTGCAAAACTGGTACAGAGTTCCCAAATATCCTTCACCCGGTGTCCTCTAATATTAACAGCTTACATGACCATAGTACAAGGATCAAAATCAGGAATTTAACACTATGTAATACTTTTAACTAAACTGCAGACCTTACCTGGACTTCACCAGCTTTTCAACCAATGTCCTTTTTATTGTCCAACATCCCATCCAGCACCCCATGTTGTATTCAGTTGTCATGTCTCCTTAGTCACCTGCAGTTGTTACTGAAAGTTCGGTGCTTGTCCCTGAGACCAAATCAGTGAGAACAAAGCATGAGGGAAGTGATTTGAGGAAAAGGAAAGAGAAGCTTATTAATTTGTCAGCAAATGAGGAGGGTGGCAGACTAGCGTCTCAAAAGACCACCATCCTGCCTTTAAGCAGAAATACAGGGCTTTTTAAAGAAGATTTTTCAGCTTTGGGCTACTGTTACTTAACTATACTTAGCGGTTTTGGTCAGCCTTGTCTCTAGGAAAGATGATCTCGTGTCCTTTGTCTGGATAATTCTGTTGGGTGATCTCTTGTGCTTTAAGGTACTAGAAAACAAAGAACAAAGAACATTTTCCTGCCCCTTTGATTACTGGCCTTGGGCATGAATGCAGATTTTAATTCCCCAAAAGGGCGAGGGGTTTTAAAGAGACAACTCATAATACATTTTGCCCTTTTTGAGAACTTTACCTCTGTTACATATTCCCCACTATCAATTTTATCCTTCCATATCAATGAGAGAAGGGGCGACATAGACACAGAGCTACTTTCTGCTGAATTGCAGTGATGTTTTAGATGGAAGGTTTGTACTTATTTCTGCCATTCCTATTTCTGGGTTGTCAAAAGATTTACAAAAAATAAATAATGCAGGCCGGGCGTGGTGGCTCACGCCTGTAATCCTAGCACCCTGGGAGGCTGAGGCGGGAGGATTGCTCAAAGTCAGGAGTTCAAGACCAGCCTGAGCAAGAGTGAGACTCCCGTCTCTTCTAAAAATAGAAAGAAACTAGTTGGATAGAAAAAATTAGCCGGGCATGGTGGTGCATGCCTGTAGTCCCAGCCACTCAGGAGGCTGAGGCAAAAGGATTGCTTGAGCCCACGAGTTTGAGGTTGCTGTGAGCTAGCCTGATGCCATGGCACTGTAGCCT